TTCTAATAAAGTGGCCAGTTAGTGGAAGCACAAGGTTGGTGTTTCTAATAAAGTGGCCAGTTAGTGGAAGCACAAGGTGGGTGTTTCTAATAAAGTGGCCAGTGAGTGGAAGCACAAGGTGGGTGTTTCTAATAAAGTGGCCAGTTAGTGGAAGCACAAGGTTGGTGTTTCTAATAAAGTGGCCAGTGAGTGGAAGCACAAGGTGGTTGTTTCTAATAAAGTGGCCAGTTAGTGGAAGCACAAGGTGGGTGTTTCTAATAAAGTGGCCAGTGAGTGGAAGCACAAGGTTGGTGTTTCTAATAAAGTGGCCAATGAGTGGAAGCACAAGGTTGGTGTTTCTAATAAAGTGGCCAGTTAGTGGAAGCACAAGGTGCACAGGGAGAATCGTTTGGATTCGTTTGCTGAAGGTCGTGCCATGTTGCTCTCTTACCTAATTAAATGACAGTGTTATGAAACGGTTCCGTCTGCAGTGCTATTTTTCCTTGATGACTGACACTCTGGATTTAGCCTCATGCTAAAGAGAGAAAGTCCTAGATCTCTAAGCACTAGATTTCAGAGCTGACCCCAGTTCAGATCCAGCAGAACGTCCACCATCTGCCGTTAGAGCGGCAACAGCAGAGCTGCTCTCAGCTCAGCTTCGGCAGGGCGTATCTGCCATCACCGAAATGTCCCAGCATGCCCCAGGGCGCTGATGAAAGCCAAACGAACGGGAGTAATGTCCCAGAGAATTTATTTAACCCAGTTTCCTGCTCTCGCCCAGACATTTAAATACGGCGTTTCTCTGCTGAGACACTCTGGGATCGCTCGCTCTCTCTCCTCCAGTGAACACTTCCAGTCAAAACTGCGTTACAGATGGATTTATATGCTCAGAAATGTGTTTTATTGCAAATATTAACGTTCAGTTGCGTCCTGCTGAAGCCACAGCAGCTCGTCACGCTTAACAGCACCTTTACACTGTTTTGCCCTCTCCTCAAATGTAGTTGTTTAGCCAAATCTGAAGTTAAAAACACTGGAGGCTAATGTAGCTAACTAGTAATGGACACCTAGCCCACCAATTAGCAATATGTGGTCCCTGACACTGTTACCTATAAAAATTGGTGAGAGCACTTTTAGTGGCCACACTGAAGTCTAAATTTATGTCCATACTTTAGTCCATGTTTATCGATAAGTATGTCGCAGTGTCCGAAACCACATAAGCAGCTCTATTAGAGAATTCCTAGAGTGGAATTCCACTGAATTTGTTTATTTCTCCATATTTAAGTCATTTTGATGTAAACAGAGTCACTCAGAGTGGTTTGGTATGGAATGCTCTGTTCTAGAGAAACTTACTGTTCACAGTGGTGGTGATAGGAACCAGACGTCCACCTATTCTTTGTCTTTATTTTGAGATACTACTCATAATTTTGAGATGCTAAGTCATTATTTTGAGATGCTACGTCATTTGGAGATGCCATTATTTTGAGATTCTAAGTCATTATTTTGAGATGCTAAGTCATTATTTTGAGATGCTAAGTCATTTGGAGATGTCATTATTTTGAGTGCTAAGTCATTATTTTGAGATGCTAAGTCATTAATTTGAGATGTCATTATTTTGAGATGCTAAGTCAATAATTTGAGATGTCATTATTTTGAGATGCTAAGTCATTATTTACAGAGACTCTCATTATTTTGAGATGTGAAATGATTATTTAGAGATTTCATCTCTATTTTGAGGTACAGAGTCATTATTTTGAAATACTACCATTAATCTGATGCCAAGTCATTATTTTGAGATGCTTTTTCCTAATTTTTTAGAAACGTTCCCATTATTTTTGGAAAGGTTCTCATTAATTTGAGAAACTTTCATTATTTTGAGAAACTTTCTCATTATTTATATTTCTAAATATGTATTTATCATTCAGTCATTCATTCATCATCTAAGCTGCTTATCCTCCTGGGTCGTGGGGTGGAGCTGGAGTCTATTCCAGCACTCAGTGGGTGGAAGGCAGGAAACACCCTGGACAGGGCGCCAGTCCATCACAGGGCCAGATATATTTATATTTATTTATATTTTCATTTCGAATGCATAAAGCATCGCAAAATAGTGAGAAAGCATCTCAAAGTAATTACAGTCTTTAAAAATAATGTATCTCAAAATAATGACTTAATATCGCAGAATAATGTCATAGCAATTCACTTACAAATAAAAAAAATAATAATCATGTACTGTATTTATTTTAGTGTCAGAATGTGTTTCCATAGAATGCAGAGAGAGGAAGGAGGGGTGATGTGGATATTAGAGGTTGCAGATAATGATCTCTCTTCCTCTGTGGTGAAAAGCAGATGGAGGGTTTCTTTATCATCCACAGCAGCGCCTGCATGTGATTACAGCTCCATCTGCTGGTCATAAGCTGCAATTGCAGACAGTGCTTCAGCTTGTACACCACAAATATGACATAATAACACAGAGGCAGCTGTCTGCCAGCATGGGTTAGTGGTTTTTAATCTATTAGACACTGTTAACACTGATTCCTCTCAGACTCGACTACCCTGTCTCGCTTGAAAAGTGTGGTTCTTAAAGACAATGTGAAGACAACGGTCCTATTTAGAACAATGAGTTCTATAATAATATAGAACAATTCAGAACAATAAGTTCTATAATAATATAGAACCATTTGCATGCTTAAATAATTCTTTGGTTCTTCAGATTGATGGAGAATGTGGTGTTGGTTCTACATACCACCAAAAAGGGTTCTAAATAGAACCATATACAGCACATTTTCCATCAATCTGAAGAACCATTTCACCATGCAAAAAAGCATGCAAGTGGTTCCTTTAGGTGTTCATGGTGCTATATAGAACCACTGTCTTTACTAAAGAACCCTTGAAGAACAATCTTTCTGAAGTGTATATGCTAGCAAATTGAGTGTTTTTCTTTTTTTGCTTATATTTTTACTCTCAACAAATGTAGCTTTGCTTGACTTGCGTGGCTAAACGCTAACAGGCTAATACCTACACATCTACCACAAAACACATTTGAACGGGTGGTGTTTGATCATTAGTTCCTGAGCCTCTACTACAGTGGATTGTACCTTTAGGTGGCTAACTACACTAGCATTAGCGTCGCCCAGCAGCATACAGCTCAAAGCACCACAGAACAGGTTCAATTCTGACCAACAAAAGCTTTACTGATGCAAGTTTAGATGATAATAACTCAACTCTGAGGGAGTGAAATGGTTCTTTGAGTGTTCATGGTGCTAAATAAAACCTTTGTCTTTAAAAAAAACGCTTGAAGAACAGTCTTTCTAAATTGTACATGTTAACAAAATGAGTGGGGTTTTTTTTGGTTATATTTTTACTCTCAGCAAATGTAGCTTTGCTTGACTCTATGATGCTAACAGGCTAATACCTACACATCTACCACAAAACACATTTGGTTCTGTCTGTCATTCATCAGTAGTTCCTAAGCCTCTACTACAGTGGTTTGAATCTTTAGCTACCTGGCTACATTAGCATTAGCGTCGCCCAGTAGCATACAGCTCAAAGCACCACAGAACAAGTCTATTTTTTAACTTTGTGTCTCTTCAACACCAGATATTCGAAATTGTGATATCAGATATGAGTGTTTATCTTCTGAACAGGTGTTTTTAAGCAACAATTCATTGAAACCGAGTCTGTAGGAGGCATTGAATGCTTGCGTTAGCTTAGCCTAGCATGACACAGTTTAAAACACAACAGTATGTCACTCCAACACCAGCCACTCAACCTCGCTTCTTCAGAATTGAGTCATTATCATCTAAACTTGCATCAGTAAAGCTTTAGTTGGTCAGAATCAAACCTGTTCTGTGGTGAGCAGAGCTGACTGCATGCTAGCTAAGCTAATGCTAACCAGATACTCTCTCCTGGTTAGCCCATTTAGAAACTGATGCTAGATTAAAACTGACATTTATTGAATCCCTGATAGCAAGAGGGTAGTGGACCATTGTCGGCCCGGTGATGGCAGAGCTGGTGGTCCTCTGGCGCTTTGTTCAGTGTTTTCCGGGTGGCCCACCAGTGGTTGAGCAGAGTGTTAGACAGAATTCCACTTATCATCGTTCATTTTCCACTCACAGTCCAATTTACTGATTTTTCCTTCATTCATTTCTTTAGTTATACTTTGTAAATTAGTTTAGTAAATCATTTTAATCTATCACAGTGACAGTAACAGTAACAATGTTTTCTATAAAATCATTTTATATCAGGCCTAATCATTATTATATCTCTTAGTTATTTGTAATATCTGTCTTGGTTTATTTCCCAAAATAAAAATGTGTGTACATTTAAAATCTTTTGAGGAGATTTAAAACTAGGTAGAACTATGTAGGTATGGAGGACGATAATCTGGGTGGTCCGAGGGTGGACCAGCAGTGGCAAACAGTCAGCAGGGGTGCCGACCTTATCAAGCCAGCGGACCGATATATGCTCACTATCTGGGATGGCAGATTTAAAATCGTACACTTGTTTTATTTTATTTTATTTTTATTTTATTTTCCGTTCATGTGAGCGAACTGAGCTTATTTGATTGGTTTCAGGTGTGATATAACGCAGCAGGATGTGGCGGCACAATACTGACGTAAAGAGTCAGTGAACAGTCAGTAAACCAATCAGTGAATGGCTACGTTGTTATGTCATCCCACCGAACGATTCTGTGGCACTGAACATGGTTAGCTAACTGTATCGAAAAAACATGCTGAGTCTGCATTTAAGCATTACATATTGGACTGTGTCCGTGTGGAAATGCCACTAGGACGGTTAGCATCCATGCTCAGAACCATTCAGCCCTGCAGTGGAAAAGAGGCCTTTGGTATGACTGCAAGGTGTGCTGTTTCTTTCTAATATTGTCCACTAGGTGGCAGTAAAATGCCAATTTCCATCTAAAATGATTACAAGTGGAAGTCTGAATGTGCAAATTTTATCAGTTACTTATATGCTGGAACACCTGAATGACTCTCTCTCTCTCTCTCTCTCTCTCGGCTCTGTAGATCACAGGGGCGATCCTGTTGGCGGTGGGATTATGGGGGAAGTTCATGCTGGGTCCGTATATCTCCCTGATTGCTGATAACTCCACTAACGCTCCGTACGTTCTCATCGGCACCGGAACCACCATCATCGTCTTCGGCCTGTTCGGATGCTTCGCCACCTGCAGGGGGAGCCCATGGATGCTCAAACTGGTGAGAGAGAGGAAAGAGAGCGAGACGGGGAAAGAATTATGTTTATTATGACCAGGCATGTGAACTTATAAGGAACTAAACAACTTTCAAGCATTGAAGCGTTTGCCTTTTAAAGGGGCATTCCAGGGATCTAAAGGGACATTCCGGGGGATTTAAAGGAGCATTCCCGGCTTAAAACACTGAGTTTAATATATTATTTGTAATTTTATATAATATTCTGTAGTGAAGCGTTGCACCTCCAGCCTCATCAGTTAGACAGAATTTACAATTACATATTCTTTTCTCATGTTTTCGTCCATCAGTGTTCTTTCACTACAATACCCAGCATGCGTTATGCAAATAAATCATTAACCACTGGGAATACCCAACAAATCCATAAAGAAATGCACCAGTATAGACTTTAATAGGAGTAACATTAACTGTCTCCCTTCCACATTATCCCAAAAAAGCCAAAACATTTTAGTTTGCTCTCATGCATCTGTCCCAAAATGCAAAGTGCTTGTAGTTTTCAGAAGCTCCTCCCACCTTACGTCATCATGGTTTCAATGGTTTTAACAAGCCCTCGTCCACTTTGTCCCCTCAGGGGAATCCCTGGCACCACCTTAAGGGCTGTTCCATTACCTTATTAGCTGAAGTGAATGGTGTTCGATGAGGGATCGAGTGTCAACTTCAGCAGCAGAACTTACCCAGAAATCATTGCAATCTGACTCATTTTCCTTTCCAAACTCAAAACTAATGGTGGACTAAGCGGTTTATTAGCTTTAACAGTGAACTTCTTTAAAATGCTTAGCGTTTCAAAATTCATAAAATTCGATTTGCTGGGCTTTAAGATACAAACTGCTCCATCTGTTCTACACGACTGCTGATACAACTTCATCAGTTTGAAGCCAGACAAAACAATCACTCACACATGTTATGAGCGTTATGCTCAAACTTATTAATAAACATTTAGCATTGCAAAGTTTGCATGGCTAGCCGATTAGCTCAGGAGGCTAACCTGCTGAGGGCGAGTGTGTTCTGTAGAGGACTGCGTGGGACTATTTTTTCTGTCCTGCTTCTGCAAGGTTTCATCTCATTCCTGCCTGCTCCAGAAGAAAATTGGAATTGTGTGTCCTGCTCCCACCCACAACCGAAATGTTTAGTCCCGCTCCCGCCTGCAGTTCCATCGAGGCGAACCGGCATCCAATATCTGACACTGTCTATTGACAAACACATTATTCTTTGCTGAAATAGCACGGCAGTCGTGGTCATCAGGCTCACTGTGAAGTAACTTCACCAAATGGCATTTATTCCCAGTAAACACAAAACAAAAATTAAACCACAAAGCAGTTATTTTTGATGTTTTGCTGGGCAGCCGTGGCCATTGGACTGAAGGTTCTGCCGTCTCTGTAAGCTACGAGAATTTTGTTCACGTGATCAGTTGCTTCACAACGCTTTAGAATGACTTTGATCATTTTAACTGTTTTACTGTTATCCCTTTATATTGTTTACAAATATGATTTAGTGATCGTTCTCCTTTATTTGGTATCGTATCTCCGTATTAATTTGCCGGATTTCTCTTCATGTGTACTTTGTCCTGCTCCCGCCCTAAGGGGGCTGGTTTCCCGCCCCCTTTGTGTACAAGACTGAAATTTAGTCCTGTGTGTGCCGTCAAATCCAATTCAAAATTCGCAAGCAACCAAATCCACTCATGCACGAGGAAAACCGCTCTTACACGCATGCAGAGTTACTCGCACGGAAGCAGAAGCTCTTGCACGTGGGGAGAATTAGCCGGACACTCGACTGTTCTTTCTGCTCGCTATTGAGCTTCTGCTCGCGCAAGACTTTAATTCATTTTTGACAGCTGTGGGTGGGTCCCGACATATGATTGGTTATCACTGATTTCTGGAACTGCTCTCAGTGGTCGTCGGAGCTTTCACTGCATATAAAAACCCAGGAACAGGTCTTTCACTCTAGAAGACAACCTTCATAGTCTGCCAGTACAATGGCGTTAGCCAAAACTCTAAGCTAACAAAAAAAGAATTAAACAGGGTTCAGGTGTGGCCAAACTTTTTGTCTTGGTGTATATATTTTTTTGCGTAAAATATACAGTTTATGCAAATGTTTTGGCAGCCCTGGTCAATTATAAGAATATGTCTTGCTGTGAAAACACATCCTCTACAGAAAACACACTTGTGCACATTTTAATACACAATTACTGTTTATTTGCTTACGTTTACAAATAAATCATAAAATGTGGCCTGTGCAAAAGTTATGGCACACTTTATGTTTTATGTTTGATTTTTTTCAATTATGTTAATCTCAGCAAATAAATAGAAATTGTGCACAAAGTATTTGAGGGGTGTTCACACTTTTGCTGAATGACCTTTTATGGACTCTCTCTTTCTCTTTCTCTTCTTTTACCTTTACCCCCCCTTTTCTTTCTGCAGTACGCAATGTTCCTCTCGCTGGTGTTCCTGGCAGAGCTGGTCGCTGGCATCTCCGGCTTTGTTTTCCGTCACGAGGTGACCGACACACACACACACACACACACACACACACACACACACACACACACACACACACATACACACACTTGCACACATGAATAAATACACACAAATGAGGCCATACGAGATTGACTACCCAGGATGCATCAGTTGGGGCTCCATCTGTTTCAGACTGGAAGGTGTGATGTCTTAATGTGTGGTTGTTTCCACAGATTAAGGGCACCTTTCTGAGGACCTACAACGAGGCTGTGCAGAACTACAACGCGCAGGATGAGAGGAGTCTGGCTGTGGATAATGTCCAGAGGAACGTGAGTGACCACACACCTTCAGACCACCATGTTCTGTGTTAACGTGTCCTTATCATACATAGCAATATACTGATGGCGGGGCCAGTGCCTGTTGGTAGGACCAACAGTGTGAACGCTGTTAGACGTTAGCGTTCACTCCGCAGTCAGTACAGCTCATTTTGAATATTACATGGCTGTGATGTCCGAACCATAAACACATTTACATATGTCCGCACGTTGTCCTACGACGCTTTAGCTCCGTCCATCCGCGTTCCATTGTTAGTGTCATATATAGGCACATGTATCATGTATCACAATAACAAAAACAGTCTGCTGAATTCTAAGGGACAAAGAGAGGTGGGAGAATGGTCATATAGTGAATTATAATCATTTTAGGTATATAAAACCACACAAATTTCATAAGTGGACCTCAGGGAAGAAATTAAAATGCCAGAAAAATATAGGATATGTGTCCTTTACTGATTTATTCATTATTGATTTTATTAATAGCTGCAATAGAAAGCATAAAAAGCAGCTTTGTTTCAATTTAATGTTATTACATTATTTTCTTTCACTGAGTCTCTCCTCATTTTCTCTCATTTTTATTTTTTCTTCCTTTTCTTCTTTTTTTCTCTCACCTTCCCTCTCTCATTCTCTCTCTCTCTCTGTAGCTGCGTTGTTGTGGAGTATTGAACTACACCAGCTGGTTTACCAGTGTCTATTTCCCTGTTAATGGAATCCCCCCAAGCTGCTGCGTCAACATCTCCGACTGCAACTCCTCAGACTTACGCAACGTTACCATAGCGCCCAGCAAAGTGCACCAGCAGGTATTGTATATGTTGCCTATATAGCCCTGTATCACCTATACGTTCCTAATAAGACTTATATGAAGCTTTATTGTCTATGTAGGCTTATATAGCCTATATAAGCCTAAATTGCTTATATAGGCCTGTATTGTCGATGTCAGCCTATATTGCCTATATAAGCCTATTTTGCTTATATAGGCCTATATTGCCTATACAGGCCTGTACTGTCTATGTAGACCTTTATTTCCTATGTAAGTTTATATTATCTATATAGGCCTCTATTGTCTATGTAAGCCTTTATTTCCTACATAAGCCTATTGTCACCTAAATTACCAGTGTGGGCCTAAATTGCCTATATAAGCCTTTATTGTCTATGTAGGCCTATATTGCCTATACAGGTCTATATTGTCTATGTAGGCCTATATTGCCTTTATAGGCCTATACTGTCCATGTAGGCCTATATTGCCTATTTAAGCCTAATATTGCCTATGTAGGCCTATATTGCGTATATAAGCCTATATTACCTTTGTAGGCATATATTGCCTATGTAGACCTATATTGGCTATACATGTCTATATTGCCTCTGTAGGCTTATATTGCCTATATGGGCTTACATATTGTATTATAGGATATATATGCCTATATAGGCAGTATAGCAGACCTGTCAGCCTTTACACAATTTGCATAGCAGGTACGCATTTTGACAGCAAAGTACGCTGATACAAGTTGTCACTCTAAACTACGCAAAAAGCTGGTGACACAAGCTTCTAACTCCAAGAGGCAGCAGCATATAGCCTTCCGAAAAAAAGAAGAAGAGTTCGACCAATCATAACACTGGGTTCATTCCATGGAGATGACAAAAGGTCAATCATTTCAAGGGACTGCAAATCGACAGCAACACGAAATGTTTTTTATCCCGCTCGTTCGCCCTCCTTCCTCCGTCTGGTTCCACAAGGGAGGACGGTGCTGAGGTAAACGAGCTGCATTAACAGTAGAGATTTTAAGCTGCAGCACCGCAGCATGCAGGGTTGCCAGATTCATGGTTTTCCCAATTAGTCTGAAAGTTCTGTGTGGGTGGAAGTTACACTGCAGCGGGCTGCGTTTTCTGCATGGACAGCTTTCTAAAATGGAGAAGGTTTGCAAATGAAAACTTATAATGTAAGCTTAATAATGTATATTGATCCTTGTTTTGAATAGCTGGCAACCGGTTCTGTTGTCTAGGATGCAGAACGTGGCAGTGTGACTTCTACAGCTTGCACTCGGTGCCCATTTGCACATACAGCAGCAGAGCAGCAAGACAGCAAACACAGCCGTACACCGTGACCTCCGCAACTCTCCAGAACATAAACCTTCGAGTTTCTATCCAATCAGAGTCGTGACGACGTCTGTGCCCTTTCACGCGACAAGCAGACACAAATTTTGTGTCTTTTACGTTACTTTTTGTTGAGCAACACTTGTCGTCTGGACTATAAATTGGACTTTACAGTTAAAATAAACATGATGTCAGATGAGGAGGACACTGACAGGGAGAGAGAGCTGCAGACCCTGTTGAATAGCCTGATGTTATGGCTATATATCCCTATATAAGCAATGCAGGCCCATATATATCCTATATTGCCTGTATAGACCTATATTGCTTCACACTCACCATGCCCTGTCTGATCTGTTCTGTCTGTTAGGGCTGTTATGAGCTGGTGACTTCCTTTATTGAGACTAACATGGGCATCATCGCTGGAGTGACGTTCGGAATTGCCTTCTCACAGGTATGACTGCATGTTTGGAACTGCTTTAACCCACAGACTGATCTCAAATCAATTATTATTTATAATAATTTGTTAAATATTTTTCATTTATTCATTTACTTGTAAGGTTATTTTTATATGTACAGTCTTCCATATTCATGTACATTTACAGACTTGAACCTGTCAGCACAGAATGTAAATGTAAATAATTACACAACTATGAGCTTAATAAAACTCATAGATAAAAGTCATAAAATGACTTTTATTATGCAATGTAAATGTAAAGTACAGGAACATGACAGTAGCTCTGGACATAAGTATTAAAAACTGCTGACACAGAAGAGAAATCAGGAAAAAGGATCAGTTCCGTGTTGGTTTGTTCATTTGAGGAGCTGGAGTTCATTGAATTAAGTTACTTAAATTCACCCTGTGAACTGAATTGATTCCGCACTGATTGATGTGACCTGAACCCTGAATCAGATTAGACTAAGAGTAGACAAGCAGAAGTTAAAGCACACTTAACGTGTACAAATGTAATTACCTGTAATTACACTCACTGGCCACTTTATTAGAAACACCTACCTTGTACTTCCACTCACTGGCCACTGTATTAGAAACACCTACCTTGTACTTTCACTCACTGGCCACTGTATTAGAAACACCTACCTTGTACTTTCACTCACTGGCCACTTTATTAGAAACACCCACCTTGTACTTCCTCTCACTGGCCACTTTATTAGAAACACCTACCTTGTACTTCCACTCACTGGCCACTGTATTAGAAACACCTACCTTGTACTTTCACTCACTGGCCACTTTATTAGAAACACCCACCTTGTACTTCCTCTCACTGGCCACTTTATTAGAAACACCTACCTTGTACTTCCACTCACTGGCCACTGTATTAGAAACACCTACCTTGTACTTCCACTCACTGGCCACTGTATTAGAAACACCTACCTTGTACTTTCACTCACTGGCCACTGTATTAGAAACACCTACCTTGTACTTCCTCTCACTGGCCACTTTATTAGAAACACTCACCTTGTACTGCCATTAACTGGCCACTTTATTAGAAACACCCACCTTGTGCTTCCGCTCACCAGCAGAGGGAGAGGAAAGAAAGAGAGGTGCTGCCATGACAACGGTGCACTGAGTGGAGATCTGCGATGTCTGTTTTTTTCCAGCCTTTATTTAGTAAACACACACTCACACACACACACACACACACACACACACACACACACACACACACACACACACGCACACTCTCACACACACACTGCCTTGGGAACATTACACAAATCAGAATTCATCTAGCTCTGTCTCTTTCTTTCTCTCTCTCTCTCTCTCTCTCTCTCTCACTCCCCATCTCTTTTCTACAGCTCTTTTCTCTTCCCCTCTCTGTCGTCATGTCTATCTCACTTTCCCTCTCTTTGTGGTTCGTTTGCTCCATTACATTTTTTTCTCAGTGCCCTCACTGACCACCCCATCAGTACTAATGGGTCTGGAGGGATGGCCAGCAACCCTCCCCCCACTCACTCTCTCACTCTCTCTCTGAGTGTTAATTGAACAGTAAGCTCTGTGTGGTATTGGAGGGTCCACACAGATCGATGACACCTCTTAGATAAGTGGCCACACTAATGGGTCTAAACCTCACTGGTGTGGAGAGAAGCAGACCGCAGACTCACTGTCACTCTTTCTCTCTCTCTCTCTCTCTCTCTCTCTCTCCCTCCCTCCCTCGCTCTCTCTGAATAATCATGTTAACCTGTCTGGCTTGCACTGCTAAAGTTTGCTGCTCCTTTCACACCTGATTCAATTCAGCAGAAGCTGTAAACCTCGAATGCGGTAAACCTGTTGATTTGAATGGGATTTAAGTATTAAAATGATATTCATACAAATCCTTTGGACGGAAACACAACTGGTGCTTTTTTCCAACTTTGGTAAAATAATAAAGAATACACACACACACACACACACACACACATATATATATATATAATTTTTCTACACTCATTGTCCATTTTATCAGCTCCACTTACTATATAGGAGCACTTTGTAGTTCTACAGTTACAGACTGTAGTCCATCTGTTTCTCTCCACCCTGTTCTTCAGTGGTCAGGTCCCCCACAGGACCCCCACAGAGCAGGTACTATTTGGGTGGTGGGTCATTCTCAGCACTGCAGTAACACTGACGTGGTGGTGATGTGTTAGTGTGTGTTGCTCTGGTGCGAGTGGATCAGACAGTCTAATGAGCCTAGACTTAGTGAGCCATCACTAGACTTAGACTTGCCCTTGGGCAAGGCACTTAACCCCCCCACTGCCCCAGGTGGCTGTGCTCTGCTGGAGACGCCGTGCTGCTCCCTGATTGGGGGGCCCCGTTAGGCAGCAAAATTACGAATTTCCCTTGTAGGACCAAAAAAGTACATAACATAAAGCCTTCTAAGGTTTGAAGCTCCTGTTTAGTTGATGAGCAGTAACAGACAGAAGTCCCCATCTCTGTAGTGTTGATTTGTACAGTGACCGTGTCTCTGTGGGTGTTTTCTCTACAGCTCATCGGGATGCTGTTGGCGTGCTGTCTGTCACGGTTTATCACTGCTAATCAGTATGAGATGGTCTAGCAGAGCAGGTGCAGGTGAGTAATATGCAGACTCACATACACACAAACATACTGAAGCGCAGACGTTACATTTCCTCATTGTCAGAAAAAAATTCGTGACAAACAGAAATGTCCCGAAATTGAGTGAGAGTGAAATAGGTGCATTAACTAACGCCTTGGGTTCACTACACGACGAACAGATTTTATACAACAGTTAGCTCCGGCCACGCAAGCTGATTGGTTGAGAAGTGTTCTAACTGCGCTGTTATTTCGCCATATCATCACAGGTTTTTCACAAACACCGTTTCACTCCACTGAGACGCCGTTGCTAAGCAACGACTTTGACAGCTGCAGGAGACGCTCAAGCCACATGAATGTTTTTACTTCTTACTTTGCGCAAAAACAGAAAATGGACACTTTTAAGATCACATTTGACCGACAGCCAATTTGGTCAGACTCTGAAGATGAGACGACACTAAATTCCCAAACTGTCATCACCACTGAGCAGCTTTTCGGCTCGGGGTGTCTGAAGTCTGGCCCCAGGGCCAAATGTGGCCCGCAAAGAGATTTTAATTGGCCTGGGGCTTCTGTTGTAGAGTGTGGCCCACCAGCCAGTATGCTGCAGTTCTTCCTTTTACCTGATGGTGGCAGCAGTGCTGCAGAATTACAGCGTAATATTGCACACAAGTTTAAGAGCTTTTCTTCTCTGACTGGAACTGCAGCTTCATTTACTGACCCACATTTAGTCCAGGCTGCAGCTGGAAAGCGTAAACTTAACACCGAGAACCGGCGATTTTGGCGAGATGGAAATTTGGAAGCTTTTTCATAGAGAGGCAAATGCGTGAACCTCATATGTCAAAAGATTTTGTTTAGTTTGTCTCTTGAATAGTAATACATTAGGCATATTTTATTGTTACTCTTAAGCAATTAAATAATTTGTTATAAGCTCTTACCAATCCAAATGAATGAGGAATCGACAGTGAAAGAAGCCTTGTGCATCTTTTATACAGTGAAATATCGCTGTAGCACACCAGAAGCTCTGATTCTATGCAATCATACGTTGCACTCTGATCAGCATGAACATGCACACACTGTGGCTCCTCTGGCAGCAGTGTCACACGCGCTTAAGTGGCCGCCGACAGATTCTCTGAATGGATCACGAGCAAAAGACTCGTTTCGATTCATGGTTATTTTTTTCATATTTTGAAAACTTAACATTTCAAATCATTTGTGAATCATATTTTGGCCCTCCTGTATTTTGACGTGGTACGATCTGACCCTCACCGTAGAAAATTTGGACCCCCCTGCACCACTTACTACTTGGTCTTTACTCTAAAACCTTTACACAAGTGGAAAGTACAAGAGAAAATTCAACAGTAGTTTTATTAATTAGAAAATAAAAATAGCCGATCACAGTAAAGGTGACTTAAAAGTTGGGATGTGAGGACATTATGAATGGCTAATGCTATTCACACCCCTAGAAACTAGCCAGTAGAAACAACTTGAAACTAGAAAGATCAAGTTTGTGAACAAATTTTATGTTGGCTTGAAAAAGCCAGCTAATTACTTTAAGACGTTAAAATGTTGAAAGACGATCGATGGTTGCTAAAGTGTTGCTTAGATGTTGCCAGATGGTTGCTATGGTATCCAAGGTGGATGGTAATGTGTTGCTAGGTGCTACCTTAAACAGCTACTTTAAATTCACTGCCACTTCAAATTCAATACCACCTTAAATTCGCTGCCACCTTAAATTATTGATACCTTAAATATGCTGCCACCTTAAATTTACTGATACCTTAAATACACTGCCACCTTACATTTACTGCCACCTTAAATTTACTGATACCTTAAATACACTGCCACCTTAAATTTAATGATTCCTTAATTCACTGCCACCTTAAATGTACTGATACCCTACATACACTGCCACTTTAAATTTCCTGCCACCTTAAATTCACTGCTAACATAAATGTAGTGCAACTTTAAGTTTACTGATACCTTAAGCACACTGCCACCTCAAATTTACTGATACTTTAAATTTGCTACCTCCTTAAATTCACTGCCACCTGTGACTCTATGAGTACTGTGTATGTGTCTGTGTGAGAGACGTGCATTGTGGCAGTTAGACATCAATGTCCCGAGCATTCCCCATTTAATCCCTAAGGGAAAAAAAACCCCTGTGCGAAAACCGTATGTCGAATTTGTCCAACAAGCACACTATTCAGGTATAGGATCTACAATCCTGCAAAGTTTCGTGGTTCTACATCAAAAACTTTTTTAAGTTTTGAGCACAGAATGAAAATATTCCAAGATTTTCCAAGCCAATTTAGTAAAATCTTTATGATCTGAATAAAAATGAAGTCTGGCCTGTTTAGCTAAGCTACACCTCTTCAGCATGGAGATCTTTATCCATCAGGTTCATACTAGAAGGATAATAAAATAAAAACTCAGATAATTTAGGTTTTAATGCATCATGTGATTAATATTGTAACACACGTCACAAAGTTCTAATTGAAATGTGGAATATAATATAGGAATTTTAACTGCATTGCTGAAAAAACTGAACTACATTACTGTAATGTTACTGTATATACTGATACACTGACACACACACACACACACACACACACACACAGACAGTGAGGATGATGAATGTGTTGTGACAGTAAAGGCAGTCTGCTGCAATGAACTGAAATAGCAGTCAATGTGTATGCAAGAGGCCTTCCGCCCAATGACAGCTGGGATAGGCTCCAGCACCCCACCGCGACCCAGAAGGATAAGCGGTTTAGATGATGGATGTATGTATGTATGTATGTATGTATGCAAGAGGGTGAGAGACAGAGAGAGAGAGAAAGAGAGAGAAAGAGAGAGGGAGAGAGAGAGAATAAAAGGAAAAAAAGAAAGCAAAAAAAGGAGAGAGAGATAAAAGAAAAAATAGTGGAGGAAAAAAGAAAAAAGAGTGAAGGGATAAAAAGAACAAAAGAGCAAAAAAGAAAACGAAAAGAACGTAAGAAAAAGATGAAAAAATTTAAAAGAAAAATACAATAAAAGGAAAAAAATGAGAGAGCAGAAAAAGGGACAAAGAGAGAGAGAGAGTTAAAAAAACAAATTAGTGGAAGAAAAAAGACAAAAGAATGAGAAAGAAGGAAAAAAGAGGAAGAAAAAGAGAATGAGAAAAAGTGAAAGAAAATGGGTAAAAAATGGTAGAACAGAAAAAGGGAGAGAGAGGGGTAATAATGGAAGAAAAAAGGAAAAAATAGGCAAAAGAGAAAAGAGAGAGGGCGTAAATCTCTGACAATTAGATTCATTATGATTCTATAGTAAATGATTCAGTGAATCATGAAATCTCACTGAAATTTCCCCACGATTCAGTTCTATTTGATTCGATTCATTTGGTCCGATTCAGAATCATTAGACTGAACACACAGATGCGTCTGTGATCCTGACCCTGTTTCCTGTTTTCCAGGGACAAACGGAGAGGGCATACGTCAGACGTGGACACCTGGGAGGACGCCCATGAAACTAGCACACTCCATTCTTCTCTTCTTTCCTTTCTTCTTCTCATCCCTCTCTCTTTCTCCTCTGATTCCCTTTCTGCCTTTTCTTTTTCTGTCTTTGTTTCTCTCTCTCTCTCTCAGTAGTGCATCATTCCTAATCGTGCGTTTGTCGTGCTGCGATGGAGCTTCTCTTTCAGAACCCCTTAACTTTTAACTCAACACCAACACCACCATCATCTCTCGCCGCTGTGGCTCTCAGCTGTGTATAAAGCCATGCATGCCGAAGCAGTTACACTCCATCGGGTCTTTAGATCCAATTCAACCTGCATTTTTATCAATTAACCAAGATGTAATTGACTTCAGTGCGTCGTAGGTTTAGCTCGATATGTTTTTCAAAAAGGAAAAAAAAAAATATTAATTAGTTGTTCAAACGGCGGACGCGTTAACTCTTACATCACACTCAGGGTGGGAAGAAGTTTAGACTGAACCAATAGGTTTTACTGCTGTCCTTTTGTCTACAAACGTAAACAAAACAACAAACAACTGTTTTCCAAATGAAAAAACAATCCTAAATCCCAAAGTTAATAAGTGTTAATTCACTTAGGTAAGCTCTGGAAAGCTAGCCAGCTAAACTACGCTTAGTTAAACTACATATAGCTAGTTTAGCTAAGCTACAGCATAGCTAAATGTAGTTTGCCTAAACGTAGCTTAGCTGTAGCTTAGCTAGACTAAGCTTAGCTAAATGTAGTTTGCCTAAAGGTAGCTAAGCTCTGCAAAGGTAGCTAGCTAAGTTACATTTAGCTATGTTCAGCTAAGCTACGTTTAGGCAAAGTACATCTAGCTAAGCTACGTTTAGGCAAACTAGCTAAGCTATAAGCATATAAGATAAACACGTTTTAATTTCTCAAGTAAAGGTGAAATTAATCATAACATAGGATTTCTTGTATGTGTAACTTCGACTCCCAACACCCAATGTACTATGGAAAAAAGAACTGCTCTGTAGTGCGATTTGAAACTAAACCCTTCAAATGTTCTCTCACTTAGCTAGCTAACTATGGTTAGCTAAGCTATCCTAGGCCAGCTATTTTTATGACGTTTAGCTAGTGCTATGTTTAGTGAGGCTACGTTCAGCTAAGCTATGTTTAGTTACGCTACCAGTCACATCTACTCAGAACAGGTTTTATTTATGTTAGTCTGCAGGTTAGCTAACTGTTAGCTGAGCTATTTCACTTTACCTCAGAGACACTGTAGACAAGGTGAGAAATACAGGGGGTCTTGGGGTTTCCGAAAACTCCTAATTAACCTCTTGGACCCCATGAATGTCTCAAAATCAAAATTCTGGGGGTCCCTGAAACAACTTATGACATTATGCTGCCTGTTAGAGGGAAAAATAGATGGTCAAAGGCAAATTCAGGAAAAGGTCATAGTTTAGCTGCTTCACCCACAACAAGAGCTTCTTTCTTTGGTGTTCTTAACTAACTAGAGCTCCAGCACTGCGCTGCCTCATGGTGGCGCTGTAGCACATCAGTTTATCCAGTCGGTCCTTCGTAGCCTAGCAACTGTAACTCTGCCCAGGATTCCTCTGAAAAACTTTATAATGTTCTGTAGCACATCTGTAAATCTGAAAATTTGCCCAAACAAGATAACAGCCCACCAACGCTGGGGAAACCAGTCAACATGGGACCCTCCGAACACCAGGGGTGTTTCCCACACTGATCGCATTCAGTTTCTACCCTGTGAGTGATGTAATAAGCAAGACGGCCGCCGTGTGAACGAGGAGGTTTTTTCGTTGTCGTTGTCGTTCCTGTACGTTTGCTGTAGTAAAGTCTTTTGGTGGAGGGACGTGTCTCGGAAAGGTCACGTTCGGTTCGGTCTCCTCTTTCTCTCCTTCTTCACGGAACCCTGTCCGCATCTCTCCGCCCCCATTTCAGTGCCATCGGAAAAGCTCCGTCTCTGAGTGTGGCTCTAAATCTTCTCGTGCGCGTCGCTGTGGCCGTGGGTGCTCGTGCCGCCTTTTAGAAGCTTGTTCTCTCGGTCTGAGATCGCTGGTGTCCACCTCTCCTCTCGCCTTGGGTTTGAGAAGGGAACGAACAGTGCGTCCCCAACAAGTACCTTCAGCCAAGCTACAGTACACACTTAAACAAGATGGTTCTTCGAGGGTTCCTCAGTCAAGGCAATGGTTCTGTGTAGAAATATGAGTTCTACATAGAACAATTTCATGCTTAAATGGTTCTTTGCATGTGGAATTGGCTAGCATTACTGCTACTGAGTGCTTATTGGTTAGCATCACTGCTACTGACTGCTGATTGGTGAAGTGGTTCTTCAGATTGATGGAGAATGTGTTGCATGAAATGGTTCTATATAGAATCAAAAAGGATTCTGCTGTTTTCAAGCTAACAATAACAACAGAAGAACCATATACAACACATTCTCCATCAATCTGAAGAACCATCTCAACATGCACAGGACCATTTAGGCATAAAATGGTTCTATAAGGAACCCATGGTTCTAAATAGAACCTTTGCCTTTACTAAAGAACCATTGAAGAACCGATCTTAACTTAACTAGCTAGCAACACAAATGTTTCTGATCATGGATGCAATTGATAAAAAAATTTGAGAAAACTTACCTGTAACTTTCCGTTTTTTTCTGCAGCAAACAGGTTCTGGACTGTAGGATGCTAACATTATTGTACTGAATGCTAATTGCTTAGCATTACTGCTACTGAGTGCTGATTGGTTGGCATTACTGCTACTGAGTGCTAATTGGTTGGCATTACTGCTACTGAGAGCTGATTGGTTTACTACTGCTACTGAGTGCTGATTGCTTAGCATTACCGTTACTGAGTGGTTGGCATTACTGCTACTGAGAGCTGATTGGTTAGCATTACTGCTACTGAGAGCTGATTGGTTAGCATTACTGCTACTGAGAGCTGATTGGTTTACTACTACTACTGACTGCTGAATGTTTAGCATTACTGCTACTGAGTGCTGATTAGTTAGCATTACTGCCACTGAGCGCTGATTGGCTGGCGTGCTCATATGACTATGGCTTTGTACAAAGGCTCCGTAGGAACCCATTCATTTTGGATTCAGGAGCGCCCTCTAGCTTCTGATCAAGACATTATTGTGATGATTCTCCTCACTACACATTCTCTGGCTGGTGCATGATGATGTCATCAAAAATCAAAGGAAGTTCTGGAGGTGGAGTTAAAGTCATTACATTGTGAAGGAAAACAGAAGAAAAAAAGAATTTCATCTTTTAAATTTTTAATAATATGATGAATGAAGCTTAATATGAACATGTAATAACAAGGAAGTCTGGTCAGTTTTGATTTCGGGTGGGCTTTAAGAACAGAATAAGGAGAAAGCTGTACTATTTGGGTAAACCTGGGCTAACGCTAAGGGCTTGCTTAAAAATTCATCAACCTCAATATGCGTGATTTCTAAAATATTCATAATAAAAGCAGTTTAGGAAATTCTTAAGCTTCGAAATAGTGAATATTTGAGAGTTTTTAAATGCATCTACAGATAGTGCAGTGAGGTGACGTAGGGTTTCAGGCCAAACTGGACGTTGGTTGTGGAGATCTAGAATCGTCCAGGCTTTCTAGAAACGGCTGTAATGCTAGTACATGTTGGTTTGTTGGTCTCGGGCTGATTCACTGAGGACTGGTGGAGAACAGCTGCCATCTCAGACTCACTTTCTGCTTGAACTGAACTGTGACGTGAGTTAAATTCAACCCAGGCTGCTGGCTCCGTATTTAAATCTGTGTTTGTGTGGCTAGTTTTTTTCTCTTTTTCTTTTGTTTTGATATTCCTTATTGTTTTGCCTTTGTTTATTATTACTACTATTACTATTATTACTATAATAATATTATGTTTTAAACGACATTTTACAGCTTCCCCCCTGTTTTGGTGGATCATTCAGTATTACTTAGTCAGTAAAAAGCATAGTCTGTGAATACGCTAGGTCGACCTCACAATCCGAAGACGGACAAGCGAACGAATAATAACAACAACTTTGTATAATAAGACTTAAACTTTTTAAAAACGCATCACCAGCTAGCATGCCAACAAAATGTATGTTGATATTGTAAACAACTGTGATCTCTGTTAATAAAATGGTCATTTCATCGTTGACCTTGTCTCGTGGGGTTCTTTTATTTTCTTTGTTCTAGAGAAAAGTCGGAATTGTTCACAGTGGTGGTGATAGGAACCAGGCGTCCACCTCTAAAAGCTCCCTCACAGAAAGTTACTACATGAATTGGTTATGAATTCACTGCCTGATGCCTTAAAACATACTTTTAATATAATTCATGGTGGAGGGATACATGCAGGGTGCTGTGAGGCAAAATAGTCCCCAAAGAAAACTTCTTATTTCAGATCCACTATTTTCCCATCATCAACATTCCATATAAACTCATGTAGGTTCACTGGTGGTTTTGGATGGTAAATAAAATGTCTATATTTGTGTTGTAGTCATGGTGACCCCTGGTTCCTATCACCACCACTGTAAAGAAATGAGTTGATTGTCAGCTGTAAGATTTATGATTCATCCAATAACACAGCAAATACTGTGACCCGAAACCAGGGAAAGTTAGATCAGGACGGGGATGCGAGATTGGGCTTCACACTGGTTCTACCTAATAAGCAACATAAGCAGTTGCATAGGGCCATGCGGCCACCAGGGGGCCCCCTAACAGCTTTTCAGCTGTTAATTACTGTGAGTTATCGTAATGACATGTAATAAGATGCTGGAGTGAGGAGGGAAAACAACTGGTCAATCATTTTTCCAAAAAAGAGAAGATGAGGAGAAAAAAACTAAAAGAAGTCAGTCTGGACGGAGAACGCTGAGACGCTGTTAGAACCCCAATAGCATCCACATCAATCAGCAACACAGAAAACTGTCATTTTTTTAACATAATTTACTTATAGCTTATAGCGGTCATTGTTTTAGTCCCTAATTTTACAGTACACTAGCTAGCAAACTAACTGGTGTTATGTAAACAAAGTTTCTAGCTTAGGAATGTTTATTTAAGACTATATTACACATTTATATGTATAAATGTTTGGAATACATAAAGACGGGTCCTCACACAATAATTCAGCAAATGTTTTCCATATTAAACATAAACAAAATCAGACTGAAAATAAATAATCAGAGTATACAGCAGGCATGTCAACCGGGGGACCTTCCAGGCCAAAGTGCTGCAGAGATTAGCATTTACCCTCATCTAACACTCTGAATTCAGATCATACAGGCTATGCTAATTAGCTGATGAGCTGAATCAGGTGTGTTTAATGAGGAAGTGAGCTGAAGTCTGCAGTGCTTTGGCCCGCGAGGACTGGAGCCTGACACATGGTATACAGTATAAATACACGTCTAAAGTGTGTATAGGACACATCAAATAAGTTACTAACCCCCAAAAAAACAGATTAGGGCCCCCAAAATGCTACAGCAGGCCCTGCATGCCAAACCACTGACTTCGTTTACATGCCAACCACTGAATCATGCAGAAATTTTGAAAAATCAGTAGAATTCGTTAAGATATTATGTAAGATTTGTTAAACCATATGTGTTGAATTGTTTCTTGTAGCTCCATCTTGATGGTGTACAGTTAGAGACTGTAGCCCAGGGGTGTCCGAAGTCCGGCCCCAGGGCCAAATGCGGCCCACGGAGAGTGGTGGACGAAGTACACAAATCATGTACTTGAGTTAAAGTAGAGAGACCCAAGGTTAAATATTACTCCAGTAAAAGTAGAAGTTCCTCCCTTTAGACCTCCACTTGAGTAAAAGTACAAAAGTATTTGCCTTCAAATGTACTTAAGTGTACTTACCTTATCAAAAATAAAAGTACTAAAAGATTAATTATGGCTCTGATGTCCTATTATCATTTTTGTAACAAGACTCTGCTTCATGAACTCATTTTAGGTGAAAATACTTTTCCTTTCACCTGATGGTGGCAGCAGCACCGTGAAATTACAGTGTGCACTGTGACAACAAAGTTAGCTTTAGTTTAAGAGCACGAAACAAAGAAAGGACGTTATGATAAATATTCAGGAGAGAAACTAAAGCAACTGCAGCCCTCCGAGTCTCGTAGCACCAACTTATCAGAGCAAATTCAGCAGTTCAGTAAATATTAACCCAACAAAAATGTAGCTATTTACGCTGCTCAATCTGCTCTTCTTGTGATTTCTGAGCGGCTGCTGCATTTTTTTTTTGACATGTAAAGAATATTATCTAACTAAACCAATAATACATAGATTTTAGTTTTATTTATCTTACAAATTATATTTTTGAAAAAGGAAACACTTGAATAGAAATGTACACCGATCAGGCATAACATTATGACCACCTCCTTGTTTCTGCTGTGTCTGATCTACTCGTACCAGCACAACACACACTAACACACCACCACCACGTCAGTGTTACTGCAGTGCTGAGAATGATCCACCTCCCTTTAGACCTCCACTTGAGTAAAAGTACAAAAGTATTTGCCTTCAAATGTACTTAAGTGTACTTACCTTATCAAAAATAAAAGTACTAAAAGATTAATTATGGCTCTGATGTCCTATTATCATTTTTGTAACAAGACTCTGCTTCATGAACTCATTTTAGGTGAAAATACTCCAGTGTCACTCTTGGTAAACCAGTCTTTTAATAGAATGTCATTAATTAGTGACGCTGATGTCTATTAAAATTATCATAAGCACAAAACACTGAAGGCAAACAGTTTCCATCAGGTAGAACTGAGTGGCTCTGAAATCACTTTTTACAAAGAAGCGAAGTTTCAGTTTAAGATTTATTTGACACTTAGTTACAAGTTTAGGTTTAATAAAAACTTTAAACTCAGATTCGCAAATGAGTTTCCTTTACTAAACTGCATCTGTAGGTCTCTGTTCATAAACATAAACTAGCAAAAACAAATTTAATTTAAAATGAAATAGTTTTTGTTTAAATTCAGAAAAAAGACACACCAGTCACAACTGCATATGTGTACATATTTCTATATCGTGGTCTATTTACACAAAGTTAGTTCATCGTTTATGTTGGAATAGACACTCCCACAATTTTACGCTGCTGCACTGATGTTGAACCGTACAACGGCATTGTAGGGCCACTGTTAATAAGAATAAAAATAGTAGACTTCGAGAATAAAGTCGTAATATTTAGAGAAGAAGTCGTAGAATTACGACATTAAAGTGGCATTAATACCAGGAAAGGTCACAATATATATACGAAGGGAAGGGAGCACCTCCTTGTGTTAAATGAGAGGCGGTGAGTTGGTGGAGTTCTACTTTCATATCGATTCACCCATAAAGAAACACTCAGTCTCCCCTGCACATCAGCACCAGCCTGTTATGAATGAAATGAACCTTTTTAGCCAACTGTGTCTGAACACATCGGAATTAGACCTCCGCAATCTAACCCATCCGTGCAGTGAAACACCACATACACACTAGTGAACACACAGACACACTAGGGGGCAGTGAGCACACTTGCCCAGAGCGGTGGGCAGCCCTATCCACGGCACCCAGGGAGCAGTTGGGGATTAGGTGCCTTGCTCAAGGGTACTTCAGTCACGTACTGTCAGCCGAGGGGATTGAACCGGCAACCTTCCGGTCACAAGGCTGGTTCCCTAACCTCCAGCCCATGACTTATTAATATAAGTAACGGCTGAAACGGTTGAGCAGGAAACTGTGTTTATCTAGAAAAAAGAGCCAGACGGACTTGGAGGAAACTGTCTGTCTGTGTTGTTGAAGGAGAATCGCAGGCAGGGTCGTCTACACGGCTATCGGGGGCTACATCTCCCCCCCATTCAAAGAGGGCATGAAGTTTCACAGACAGTGAGAATGATGATCAAAATGATCCACAGAGAGACAGGAGTGAGTGGAGCTCCGGCGCCAGGACAGCAACCGAGACCCCAACGCGTTATGGCAGCCCCCCTATAGTTAGCCCACTTTACCCTCCAAATATTTTCTTGAAATATTATGACTTTATGCTCGAAGTCTACTGTTTTCATTTTTATGAACAGTGGCCCTAAAATCCCGTTGTTGAACCATATGCTTGCACTGGGTCGGTATGTCCAACAGGTCAAAACAAGCTCAAAACAAAGTGAGCGCTGTGCCCTGATTGGTGTTCTTATACACACATAAGACAAAAGGAACGACAGATTTCTCATAATGTAGTGGAGTAAAAAGTGAGATATTTGACTTTGAAATGTAGAGGAGTGAAAGTAAAAAGTCGCCCAAAATGGAAAAACTTCAGTAAAGACACACAAAAAACTACTTAAGTCTGTCCACCACTGCCCACAGATAGATTTGAACTGGCCCGTGGCTCAGTGACCAGTATGTTGCGTTTTTTCCTTTCACCTGATGGTGGCAGCAGCACCGTGAAATTACAGTGTGCACTGTGACAACAAAGTTAGCTGTAGTTTAAGAGCACGAAACAAAGAAAGGACGTTATGATAAATATTCAGGAGAGAAACTAAAGCAACTGCAGCCCTCCGAGTCTCGTAGCACCAACTTATCAGAGCAAATTCAGCAGTTCAGTAAATATTAACCCAACAAAAATGTAGCTATTTACGCTGCTCAATCTGCTCTTCTTGTGATTTCTGAGTGGCTGCTGCATTTTTTTTTTGACATGTAAAGAATATTATCTAACTAAACCAATAATACATAGATTTTAGTTTTATTTATCTTACAAATTATATTTTTGAAAAAGGAAACACTTGAATAGAAATGTACACCGATCAGGCATAACATTATGACCACCTTGTTTCTGCTGTGTCTGATTTACTCGTACCAGCACAACACACACTAACACACCACCACCACGTCAGTGTTACTGCAGTGCTGAGAATGATCCACCACCCAAATAGTACCTGCTCTGTGAGGGTCCATGGTGGTCCTGACCACTGAAGAACAGGGTAAAAGGGGGCTAACAAAGTATGCAGAGAAACAGATGGACTACAGTCTGATCAGTGTACTTAATACATTATATATGGTTTATTGTTACTTTTAAACAATTTAATTATTTGTTACAAGTGCTTACAGATCCAAACTGCCTCAAAACGAAGCCTCAAGCATCTTTCATACTGTTTTATATAGTGATTGGAAACACAGTAGCTCACAGAGCGT